ATGCATACAAACACAAAACTTCAAGCCGAAAAGATGAGGATCGTCACTCCCTCAAAGTGATTACAGAACATAGCTCTTAGAAGTCCGAACACTGCACATGGAAAAGCGCCAGTCTCTTGTGAAATAACATTCTTAAATGTCAGCCATCTCCACTTCAGTGAGGCTCAGCACACGAATTCTTCTGGTGTGAAGTCAGTCTTTTGCTTCCCACAGAACAACACCATTTAACTTGCCCCAAAATCATCACCAGACCCAGAGGAGGATCTCTGATGAGACATCCCCTGTAGAATATTAACATTTTAACTGCTCTGTTTACCAAGAGACAAATAATTATCCTCCGAGGTTTCAAAACTCTCTCAGCTTCAATCATGTCAGAATTTTCTGATTTTTTTCCTGTTTGTCTGAAGTGAATATATTTGGGTTTTGGCCTGTTGATCCGACAAATCAAGATGCTGAACACATCAGAATCTGCTTCACTGGCCAGGTGTGTTGAACACAAGGAATTTGATGTGTTTGTAACAGGTAACAAACAAGATAAAGGAAAAAAACAAATCTGCATTAGGAAAATCAAAATAAAGTACTTAGAAATATAAACACACACACACACAATGTCACTTTGGACTCTGAAACTGTGATGGACAGTTTGCACTTTCTTACACTTTATCAGTTCCAAAGCAATTAAAAACTTTATGAAAGTAATCCCCAACTGTTTAGTTACACCATTGACCGTGATTCATGTGAAGTGGCTGCTGCATCTTCCTTGTGGGATAGTGACCCATCTAAACATCTGTCAACACATATACACAGCCCAGTATGTATAGGTGGATAGGGACTGAATCAAATGTATGGCAACCTCGGATAGGGATAACTGACCAAAGAGAGTCCTTCATGGACGAGGAGCAGCCCAGACGTTTAGGCAGGACAAGTCACTTGCCAGCTTCCCCCACCCTGGCCCCACACGGGATAATAGCAGCGGGCTGTACGTGCCTGTGTGCCCCTTTCCCCGAGCCTCAGCTCCACCACGAGCTTGTGGAGCTAACAAGTCTCAAAGAACTTAAGCGTTTACAAGTACCTGAAATCAGTCTCTTCGAATTTAAATCAGAGCCAACAGACTCGTGTTGCTGATTCTGCTCACAAACTAGCTAGTATCTTACTTTAGCTGGCGCCGCCAATGAACAAAGTAAGCCTGAAAACTTTAGGTCGGTGGAAGGAATATTTAGTAAAACAACTTACCGACTCTGAAAAGACGGAGGCAGATACAATCAACAGGAGGCACAGGTTCAGCATGGTTGTCCTTTGAGGCAGCGGTGAAGTTGAACACAGGGAGTAAACCGTTGACGGTTAGCCTTGCTGTAATTTAAACCAGTGTAGTAAATGACCGTATCTCGCAAAAGCCTTTGTCCCAGTAAAGTCCAACAACCGTGCGAGTTGTTCTGAAGCTGTCCACCTTTGTCACATAGAACGTGTATTACACGTTTCCTCTCTCACTGGTTTATACACGGGCTCGTCTTCTCTATTTACCGACAACTGCTGTCCAATCAGCGTCGAGCAACGGCGTGACGCTCCTCATCCTAATTTACCGTAAATCCATTCAACAAGTGACCACGCCCCCAAACAGTGTGAAGATACCCGGATGTAGCAAAGACACTAGCGATGTTTCGTTTAAAATAAAAGCTTAAGCTCATTCAAAGAAGTTTAATTATTGCCAACACGTAGCAGAGTTTAAAGATTATTTAAAGTTACGGTTAATTAGGGGCCTCAAAGCATAATCTTGCTAAATTTCAGAAAATAATTGAAAGTGATTAATCAAGTGATATAATAACGATAAAACTATTGTTTTTGATTTGCTTTCTACGTTTCCTAGCAAGTGTTTATCCTCTTAAAATTTTAATCCAACAAAGATAAATACAAATGGCAACTTTTGACACGATCTACCTATAGCGTAAGGATATTAAAGAAATATGAATCATATAAAACAGAAAGAATAGATTCAAATATGATTTGATTTAATGCATCTACTATTGTTTGTCTTCACTATTAGGTTCCATGATAACAGTGGGTCAACTTTATAATTTGCCATTTGCGGTTTAACAGGCTTTGATTAAAGGTGATTTCTTTCCCATCAGAGAAGGATGAACCTAATTTAATATTTAATTTATTAAGAAACATTATTGCGGTTGTCGACATAGCTTTGGCCATGTCGCGTGATGACAAACCCCGCTTCAGGCTGCATTTACCACACGGCAGCAGTGGAAGCTAAATGTGATGTAGGCTAGCAAACAGATGCTACTGACATCATAGAAGTGAACATGAAGCCCGATTAAACTCTCCTGATGAAATATACTCTATTTCCCACCAGGAATATTTTTAGCACTATATCATAATTCTTTTAGTTTAGTTTATCGCCAAAGAGAAGTTGCTGGGTTTTGTGCCGATTCATGGAAGTGACGACATTTCCTATAAAATTCCCGTCTTCTTCCTCTCTTTCATTTCTCCTCTTTCACTTTCCCCGGTTCTGTCTCTCATGGGCTTCGGAGCAGAGGTTTTGTTTACTCGGGTTTTCTGTTTTCATTTTCTTCTTCGTTTTCACTTCCGCTCCTGGATGAACTAGGCTGGAGTACCAACTATTTCAACGTGTAGCCTACACACGCGCTCAGACGTGCTTGTATAAAACACCAGACTACTTTTTAAATGATGATTTATGATTTTCAGACATAAGCTGCATTTCTAAAAGAGACTTTACAGAGAGTGTCTGTGGTTTAAGTTGAGAATAACTCTAATGTGTGTAATTGTAGCCCATACTGAAATATTAAAACATAAATTAATTAAAGGGTATGGCTTCCCACGTGTAGGAAAAATATATTTTAAAATAGCATAACCCTTGTACAAAGATAATTATTGTTAGTGACCCACCATGCAGGTTAGGATCCAAAATACATGACAAAGCTTTTGTTTATACCTTATTGACATGAATAAATACATAAAAAATCTTGCTGCTGTTAAGATGAGAAGAATTATTTGAAACAGGAGTACTTCTGGTATCCCTCGCCTCCACTGGCACTCTTAAAGAGGAAAAGTACAGTATGTTGACAATATGGAGCAAAAAATAGGCACTGGTGGGCCATTAATAATAAAATGTGGCCTATCACATTAAAATATATAGTTTTAATTATTGTTTTTTAAATGTTAGTCCTGACCCAGATGTTAGGAAAAGAGTTAAGTAAATTGGTGTAGGCTATATGTAGGCAAATTTATTGTTTTGCATTTACTTCGTTCACTCATGAATACAGACTAAATGTGAGCAGTTTAACTATCTGTGTGTGTCTTGACTGCGGAGTGTGAGGATGGCTAAACGTTGCTGTGTGATAGAATCTTTTCTAATTAAGTTGACTCTGACACATGGGGCTTTCTGCTCTTTCAAAGATTTTTAATGTCACAGTTGCATAAGATGATGGAGGATGAAGGTAACACACAATGTAGAGATAAAACCACACACAAAAACAGATAAACAGATAAAAGATGAGGTGAATCAGGAAAAACCCAAGACAAAACATATTGTAGCTGTGTGTTTGTGTGTCCTTGTATGGCTGAAGGCTGAGTGAGGACATGTTGTCCTTCAAAGGGCTGTTGGAGGGTTCAGACCTAGTCTTAGGGTTCTGGCTCGGGATCAGGGTATAAGGGTGCATTATGTCAGTGAGGTCCTCACAAAGATTGAAGTGAGGAAGCAAAATGAAGCAAGTGACAATGTGCACGTGTACTGCGTGTATTCTGTGTCAGTGTGTTCAACGCAGCACGCCTTAAAGCTAAAAATAGAGTAATTGTTGTTTGTGTTTAAAAGAGGAAGCAGGAATTTCCAGTGTCCTTTTGTTTTCCTCACCTGGTCACACCTGCTCCACTCCTGTGGACAAAAACCAGCATGGCCTTCCCCTGTTCTGATGTTTAATATGGAGAATTTGACACCAGCACGGGTCATTGTTTCCCACTGACACCAACTATCGTGGTTTCAGTTGGAGATGACATCTCGGTAACAGGGCAGGAAGGAGTACGGCTTCCACCTGTGAGTCTATTTAATCTGGAAACATCTTGAAATACTGGGTATCTTATCATAGTGATCTGTAATTAGCAGTCTTACATATTTGTAGAGTCAACATCAAAATATCTGAGGAGGTGGGCCAGTTGTCATACCCCATGTAACTATTTACATTTACTGTACTTTATACTTCTACTTCACCACATTTCAGATAAATATGTTGTACTCATGTGTGTTTGTTTCCTTCCCCTAAATGATGTGTGGTTGTGTAGTCTGTCCTCCTACCAGGTCTTTGTCTGGACAGGAGGTCTGTGGCTCAGCTTCATTGGAGGCACCTGGCAGCAACTCATCCTCCAGAATCATCTTCTTCATATATTTTATATATATGGTTCTGTTTCCTGATCTGGTTTGAGGGTCTAAGTACAGAGGGTGTTGTATGAAAACCTGAAGACCTCACATTATTATAGAGAAAAACTCAACAAACCCTGTTGAGCAGCACATGGTGACAGCAGGGAGGGAAAAACTCCCTTTAATGGAGGAAACCTCAGACAGACCCCGGCTCTTGGTGGGCGGCCTTCTGCCTCGACCAGTTGGGGTGAGTGGATAGAGGAGAGACAAAAGAAGAAAAGCAACAAGACAACAGTGAAACACTGATCAGGTCGATGTGGCTGGTGACTGCTTGTCAGAGACGTAGAGCTCCAGGGCCAGGGCAACCTGTAGAAAGGTACAGGGAGAGAGAGAGAGGACACACTACGAGAGAGAGGAGACACAAAGTTAGTAATATGTAATGGTGGCATATAGAAGCATAGGGAGAGAGAGGAGAGGAGAGGGGAGGAGCTCAGAGCATCAAGGTAGTGACGGCATCTGCCTCCTGAACTGAGACTGGGAGTTGGTTCCATAGGAGAGGAGCTTGATAGCTAAAGGCTCTGCCTCCCATTCTACTTCTGTGGACTCTAGGAACCACAAGTAAACCTGCACTCTGAGAGCGAAGTGCTCTGTTAGGATGATAAGGCTCTACGAGGTCTTTAAGATACGATGGAGCCTTGTCATTAAGGGCTTTGTATGTTAGGAGAAGGATTTTAAATTCTATTCTGACTTTTACAGGGAGCTCAGTGAGTTCCTCAGTTAGCTCTTTATAGCTTTCATACTTCATTGTCATCCTCTGAAAGAATAAAGGTGGAGATGCCATGATGCTGATTACGCAATGAAATCTTACAACACAAATGCATTATTAATCTGATAAAATTAATTCTGAATAAAGAGCATTTATTTTTGATACTTTTAATACATTTTGCTAATACGTGTTCAGTTTTTAGTAACATTTTGAATGCAGGTCTGTTACTTGTAATGGACAACTCAAATATCTACTGCATACTCGGTTCACAGGAAGCTGTTTACTCATGGTGAAATTACAGGATCCGATCTGTGCGGGACAAAGACAGGGGGCTCTGCAGAGCTGAAGGCAAAGGAAGTGGTTGAGGCGAATTAGCATCAAAAGTTGACCACCTTCTCAGAGTCATAACACACAAACATAAAACACATGTTGGTCTGATTCAGTGTGGCGTTCACTTCCAGAGCATCTCATCATCTCTGATGCCCATCTACAGTCAACCTCCATAAGTCCACTGCACTCTGACAGCCAATACATTTTGCTAATACGTGTTCAGCTCCATAAATCCACTTAGGAACCAGAGGAGAAGAGGTTTGGATTTTCTCTTCCCAAATAGACGTATATGTTGGTGTTAGCATGTTTCCATCTATCGGATTAGTGACGAATGCTTCTATGGGATTATTTGATTTTCCTTTGTTGACTTGTGTTTTGAGTAACATTGTGTTGTTTTTGTTGTTAGGCATTTTGTTATCAAATGCTCATAGAGGCCTTCATGTAAAAGTCAACAGGGAACAGAAAGACAAAGGGAAAGCTGGTCACACCAGGCCCGCAGGCGAAGTCCAGCTGAAAGTGCGTGGGGTTTCGAATTTGCGTTTGTGCCATACTCATATGTCAAATGACATTTAGAAAGGTCTCATGATACCAAAGTCACAGGAACAGGGAAGTGAAAGACAAGCCCAGCTACAGTATATTGCCCCATGACAATGACAAAGCCCCAGTGAGCCCAAAACCACAAAGCTACTGTCACAAGTGAATTTTCCTATATGAACTGAAACAGGAACTGAAAGTGTGCAGTCACATGTGGGTTTCACTTAGTGAGTGAGGCTGGGGAGGCTGGAACAAGGCAGATTAAACACAGCAGAGAAGGCGGCGGGACACCAGGTAAAATGACCAGTGTGAGGAACAGGAAATGAATCCTCTGAACTGACGTGACTAAATTTTATCTCTTAAATCTATGACTGTATCTCCAACAAGGGACAGTTATTGGAGCTGAATCACATAGGGCCTTGAAATGAATCTGAGGTCAGCCTGAATGTGCTGATGGCGACTGCAGAAGTGAGTTCAGAGCTCAGAGTCAAACATGAATCAGCAGAACTTTACAGGTTAATATAAAT